GTTAGGACTACAATACGGCTAGCAACGCCCCTGGATCCTAGCAATAATTATTGGGATTAATATCAATATTTGGAGTACTTGGCTTACATTTGTTTGTGTAATTCATAAGTTATTAGGGATTCTGTAACCAAACAGTTGCATGGGGTCCATATGGATTGATAATTATAAAATTAAACACGAAATGCAGAGTGATATACCTATGAAGTGCTTTGATGTTAATAAAACCAGATTTTCTCATCGTATGAAAAAATGTAAAGATAATTCATTCTGTACATCTTTTCTGTCTTAATTTTTTCTGTAGTTTCAGTAGGACTAAGATTAAGGGGCCAGAAGTGGATTTGTGGTTAGCGTGTCCGAATGTGAACTTGAAAGTTCGTGGTTCGCCGTGGATGCACTATAAAAATATTGGTTAAATCTCAGACGATATTAATCCAAATGTTACCGATGGATCCTGTTGACAATTTGCTTTCCCCCTAATCTATTAGTTCAGAATTAGGGACGGATATGTTTGTTTGTTTTGAATTTCGCGCAAAGCTACACGAGGGCTATCTGCGTTAGCCGTCCTAAATTTAGCAGTGTAAGACTAGAGGGAAAGCAGCCAGTCATCACCACCCACCGCCAACGATTGGGTTATTCTTTTATCAACGTCCCCACGGCAGAAAGGGCGAGCATATTTGGTGGGAAGGGGATTCGAACCCGCGACTCCAGCTTCCTAACCACCTGGCCATGCCAGGCCAATGAATATGTGCAGATAATTCTTGTAAAACTTTGCGTGAAAAGACTATGACAAACAATTTAATCTAAGCTCTAAGTAAGCCCGATTTTAAGCAGATTTTATGATCTGGTGCAAATTGTACAAATTATAAAAACACGCCTACAAAGTGTATCAATCTAATGTGGTGGGCAAGAACGAATGTCTATGTAACACCTCCCCCATCAAGGATTTAAGTTTTACCCCCGTCTTAAAGTTTGAGACCATAGTAAATATTGTAACAAAATGTTTTATAGCACTAAATCTAATATCTATGAGTTAGTACACAACGTCTTATGCCGATACCCACTGTAGCTTTTAAAATCATTGGCTGGTACTACCAACGGAGTTAACCTTCTGCTAAGAGAAATAAGCTCAAAACTAATTGCATATGTTTTCATATTTATACCACTACAGTAACAGACACATGTCAGGGGTAGAGATATGGGAAAGAGGGTTCATCAAGTGATCCACCAAGGAAGAGTACTGGCAAGTTCCTCTTCTTTATTAGCAATAGTTTCAGTTTAATAAACTCACGCGTCCTTTTTTTTATGACGCTTCTTTTAAGCGTTACCAAATCACGTATTTTTTCACAGTTACAGAAAGATATCCTGACGTAAAAATAAAAAAGTACTCCCGTTCCTTACAGGAAAAGTAATAGATTAGTCGTAGAAAAACTACCCCAAAAGATAAATACATAAAAATTCCGTTGTAATTGCTCCCTAGTGGCACAGCGATATCTTTGCGAACTTACAACGCTAGAAACCGGGTTTCGATACCCGTGGTGGGCAGAGCACAGATAGCACATTCTGTAGCTTTGTGCTCAATTGCAAGCAAACAAACAAAACAAACCATTGTAATA